TCTTATTGGGCATCGGGCAGGTATGTGATATCACAGCCTCGCGGATTTGGTTTTTTTTTAGCATTAGTAGCAGTTTTACGGAACAACGCGTAACGTCGCGTGCACATAACGGCATTGGCGGGACAGTGTTCGGAATAATTATTCTACCGGGGTCATAACCCTCGAAGTGATCTTCTCTTGCACCCCCAAACTTCCCAAAGCCACACGCCAAAGTGCTGCCCTATAGCACACGTGACAACCCTGCCGCGCCTGCAGACGAGTGGCCGCTGAACGCCGCCTGGTGCAACTTCTACGTCACGTGCGACGTGCTGGCCTGCACGGCGTCCATCTGGCACATGAGCTTCATCTCGCTGGGCCGCTACCTGGGCATCCGGGACCCGCTCAAGAACCAGCCGCGCAACACCACGCGCCAGTGGTGACGCGCGTGGTGCTGGTCTGGCTGCTGTCGCTCGGCATCTCCAGCTCGTCACCATCCTCGGCATCGTCAATCTGGACAACATCATGCCCAGTCCAAAGGTAAAGGGTGCCTGCGTGCTGAGGGTGGTGTTTTGGGTCGGAGGTGCTCGGGATTGAAGGTGCGACTCAGTGGGAGGGGACGATGGGGAGCGGTGAACCCGTTCGGGGATTGGGAGCGTCGGGATTGGGATTGGTACTTGGTGAGGCCTAGTGAGGATCAGGGTCCCGCCGTGGTGAAAGACTCTGGCAGAAAACGAATTCGCTAGCACCCTTCTCTTACACGCAAATGGCGCTTAGACACGGCTGTGGATGATTGATACTCAAAGCTTCCTCTTCGAACAAAATGTTTATTGTACATAAATAAATGTATGATTATGAGGAGGGTCATCCCGTTGCAAATGTATGATTATGAGGAGGTCATCCCGTTGCAAATGTATGATTATGAGGAGGGTCATCCCGTTGCAAATGTATGATTATGAGGAGGGTCATCCCGTTGCAAATGATAAACTTGTCTGTCACGTTTGGAGGAGTCTATGAAGCATCAAAAGTCCATGACGTCTGTTTCGCGCATTCAGACAATCTGTCTGAATCCGCGAAACCTCCATCACGTACTAGAAACCTTTGAATATGAAGTTGACTACAAAGCCCTTCGCGTGCTGTCGTCATGCGGAAGCGTTGCCGTCCTACGTGCTTCTCTCATCAAAAACGCCCCTGTCCGGTTCCAGGTGTGCGCCATCAACAACCGCATGTTCTTCGTGCTGGGCAGCTTGCTGGCCTTCTTCATCCCGATGATCATCATGGTGATCACTTACTCGCTGACGACGCTGCTGCTGCGCCGCAAGTGTCGCTCGGGCGCCACGCTGCGCCACCGCCACGTGGGGCGCAGTCTGGCGCGGCCGGAGCGCGGCGCGAGCGACGGCCGCCGCGAGGGCGGCGAGCACCGCCTCGCCTCCTTCCCGAACGGGCTCGGCTGCCGCGTCAGCACGCGCGATGTGGGCGTCCAGACGCCGCACAACATCAGCCGCGAGACGCGACGCGGCCGTCTGACGCTGCGCCTGGCGGCGGCGGAGCTACCTCGCCGCCCGCCGGCCGCGCCCAGCACAGCGCTCACCGCCGAGAAGAAGGCGTCCAAGGTGCTCGGCCTCGTCTTCCTTGCGTTCGTCGTTTGTTGGGCGCCGTTCTTCACGCTGAACATCAGCAACGGCATCTCCAACAGCATCTACGTCAACCCGTACGTGGAGGCGGTGTTCCTGTGGCTCGGCTACGTCTCCTCCACCATCAACCCCATCATCTACACGAGCGTCAACAAGACGTTCCGCGCGGCGTTCCTGAAGCTGCTGCGCTGCGGCTGCCGACAGTTTCAGCAGGGCCGCCAGTACCGGGCCTACAGCCTCAACGACACGGGCGCCACCACGACGCCGCTCTCGAAGCCGCCGTCGACTCACTTCCGCGCGCCGAGCCTCTCGCAGACGCGCTGCGTCGAGCCGCTGCAGCGGCCTGGGCTCGCCTTTAAGTCACAGTCCATCTGCTAGTGAGGCGGCTCTGCCGGGCTGCCGTCGCGAGCCTGGTGATGATCGGGTGGGACGCGAGACTGGTGGTGGCCAGCCGTGAACGCGGGGTTGGTGATGATCGGGTGGTGACGCGGGACTGGTGATGACCGCCGTGAACGCGGGGCTGATGACCGGGTGGTGAGGATCGGCTGGTGACGCGAGACTGGTGATGGCCAGTCGTGAACGCGGGGCTGGTGATGATCAGGTGGTGACGCGGAATTAGTGATGGCCAGCCGTGAACGCGGGACTGGTGATAATGAGATGGTGACACAGGGCTGGTGATGATAGGATGCTGATGCGGGGCTGGTGTTGATCAGCTGGTGATGTGGGGGCGATGGTGACTGTCGGTGGGCTGGTGATGACCGTCTGCTGACGTGGGACTGAGGCCAACATTCCAGTGACGAGTGGCTGACATTGATTGGCTCGTGACCGCGCTTGACAGCGATCAGCTGGTGACGCCAGACTGGTGTTGACAAGTGGTGACATCGCGTTGGTGATAGTCTGCCGTTGACGCGGAATTGGTGTTAATGCGTTAGTGATGTGAGGCCGCTGTTGGTCAGCTGGTGACACGGACTGCTGTCGATCAGTTGGTGACGTGTTGCTAACTTGTCCTCTCTCAGTGCTCAGTGTCGACCGACGGATCTACCCGCCTGGGTAGATCTACCTTCTATCTAGGTAGGTGGATCTACCTTCCCGGCCCTGCGCGGGTCCGCGTATGTCTGACCTGGCCTGTCAGTGTCTGTCCGGTTCGTTCTCCCGCGCCGGCTTCGCATGCACAGCCGCCTCCGAGGTACAAAGGTTCGCTGGTGGACGCGGCTGTCAGTCGCGGTCCATTGCCGGTATTAGTCGTGTCGGAGTATGCTTCGTCACGCGAAATAGTCCGCGACCCGGGCTATGGTGTACTGTCGGCGGCCGATGGAAACCCACACGCTATGTTTACATGTGTTGCCCGCGTCCACCCGCCATGCAGCGTATATCGAGGCTCGTGCGATTGGAAGGGAATACCACTGTGACGTCCCCGCTGGCTGCTTGCCAGATAATGGCACGCATTGTCGGATACAAGGTTTACATTATGTGAGGGATTATATATCACGGACGCTGGTATGGGCCGGCCGTCAGCCTGGTTGCGCGAGCTGGTGCTAGATAAGTCTCGTTCCAGAATTAAACTCATGGAAGAGTCCGACACGCGTTGACATCCTTGAAATGTATGTATACACACACTTCCAAAAAAATACCCCTGGGGAAAATATGTATCCACATGCAATAATACAAACATGACATCTCCAAAGCCTAGTGAACTCGAAGCTTCCCTAGCAATGTTTTAAATAGCAACACAAATAGCTATACTTCATCTCCGTCAGCCAGCTACAACCCGTCTGTCAGTCAAACACAGTCGGTCTAAAAGGTTTTGCAATGATGCCGTCCTTCACCTACAACATGGACGTAAGCTTAGAACGCTGGCTGCATACACATCAAGCACAACATGCTAATTTTTACTGATCCTGTTTCCCTTCATGTTCAATTTACTGACAATAGCCTGAACAGTGTGATCAAATATTCTGTTATTTTATCAACAAGTCAACCACATGTTAATCCTTGCCCCGACACGGGCAGATTTGTTCGAAAAGATTTGAATCTTGCATTCGCTCACGAGGCAATCGCTTTGAGATGAAAAATGTTACTTTAAGCTATGAACTGAATCACATTTTTCGTAAATTTTATTAACTGAATCGTGAGTCGACCATTTCTAACAAAGTCGAGTCAATAAGTCATATGGCCGAAATTAGACTCGTAACATGAGAAAACAGCATGCCCCAGACAAATAAGCAGACCATTTGAGGATGTTAAAATGAACAGCATGCAGCATCAGTCATAAAGTGTTTTGCAAAATCAGCACAAAGTTTGTCATTGTAATTTCTAAGCAACAAGCACAACATGGATCATTCCTATCTCAGGTATACCAAATCTTAGCCAGAAACCAGACGATATTACATGGCGTAGACATCCCACATTCCCATATCCTGTGTTAAAACCAATGAAAGATTGCCTACTGCCTTGTCTGCTACATGGGACGGTCATATTTTTAAATGTCAATTGCCACAGCGCTGAACCAATCCACACCTGACCCCTCATTCACTGCATGACTAGGCGCAGGCCGCCAGCTGTCTGGCTTAGTGCGGTCTAGTCTACATTGCATGCTATTTAACTTATGGCTCTTTAATTTTGGAACCCGCGTGAGTCATGAGCTGAATGATTCCATGCAAGCATGAGTCTGAACTGAGCTAAATAAAAAAAAACAATTGAACAACTATGAGTAATGAGATGGATTGGATCCCCAAATCGGTGAGCAGGGAGCCACTCCCTCCAAGATCTGCTGAGGATGCCTCTACGGTATGTCGTGCAATCACGCCAAATTTTCAGTAGCTTATGAGGCGTTCGTCGCGCGTGTTTCGATACCAAGTACGCGCCCCAGGCGTTTCTGGTCTCGGAGCAGCGGCGGTTTTGGTAGAACGCTGTGCGGCGATTTACGGCCTGCGCGGGCGGCAACCGACGATGCCGTGGAACGCGCGCATCAACGGAGCCATACGTCATAAAGATATGGTCAAAACATAGTAAACTATAGGCCATTTTACTCAGAACTGAACAAGACACACGGCTGTTGAAGTTTCGTATCACTACAAGGCATAATCTCGCACGGATTAGGCCATAAAGCTGAAAAGTGCGCTTTTCGCGAAACTTTGACATTTGACCTTGCATAATGGGGTCAATTTTTAATCTAGCCACATCCAAATTGCCACCAATCGTGAGATCTCGTTTAGATCAATCCAATGGTATCTTCCGCTAAGCTCTATCGTTCTAGTTTGAAAACGCCAGGAAGGCTCGCATCGACCACCCTGTCAGCCGGCCTTATGAAAAACAGCGTATCAGGGCGAGGGCGAAAGTGGCCGTTATGTTCTTGTTGGCGCTCGTGCGCCTTCTCAGAAGGAAGGCACGCGATTGTTAAAATGTTATGGCTAAGGTCCGGCTCGTTCTGGCCTCTAGCCTGCGTGAAACTGCGAATTGGCCAACAATTCCATATGCATTGGGATCACATCAGTGATTGCGCCAGTTTCATGTACCATTCAATCACTGAAACTTTTGAACATCTGCAATACCGACATAAGACTGATTCTGACAACCCGTGGCGAGGCAGACAATGAGAATCTTGACACTGCCTGTGGTAACACGACGCTCTCGACCGACGGTAAGTCACGTGATTAATGCGTCTGCACTCGGCACTAAATACCATAAGAATGTAAACGCGCATTGACATTTTAAAGTTGCGGTGAGGTGACGATGGTTGGATCTAATGGCTCTTTGCATTACCGTTGCGGACATGTAAGCAGCGTTAGTGTGCTCCATTCAAACTACGCAAGCCAGCCATGGCCTATTGATGAAAATAAAAAACAAGGCATTATATGCTGAACAAGCCCGATTTGACACCTTGAAAGCCCTCGTTCGCATTGTAGGCGTGGTCTGCGAAATCTGAAAACCAGACAACTTGTTTAAACTTGAAAATAAGTAAGATCTTTTTCCGTGGAAAATCCAGTAAGTGATGCGGTTTTAGTGTCGAAAGCTTTCTATTTCAATGATAGGTCGTGATCGTTTACCAGATCATGTTTTCGATTGTTTCCAAAAGTGGACATTCGCTATTGACTTACCAGGCAATACGCGAAACAATTGGAAAGTTGTTGTATTCCGCTCCCAGCAAACGGCCTTCTGCCCACCTGAGTCCACGTGTGTTCAGGTGGGCAGAGCTCGCGTCTGTGTGGCAGTACGACCGCATACCGTTGTTTCAGCCATAATATTTCTGTACAGTGTTGTTACAACCCGCGACTGCTCAGTGAACAGTCACGAGAGTGCTGCAACATCCGTCAAACGCGACATGACTTCTGAAAAAACTTATACAGACTTTGTCTATAAGCGGCATTTTTACGACTGTAAAAACTTATACACGACGTGAGTGTTACGTAAAAAATTGTCCATCAAAAACTCATGCGCGACGTGAGTCCTACACGTCCAGATACCTGCTTCAAAAATATAATTTATCTACGTCATTAAGCACACAGTGATTATAGAGTCATTACATCTATTGCAAAAGCTTATAAAGTCTTGTCTTATGCGAAACATCACGTTTACTACAAAATTCATGCACGACGTGAGTGCTGCACTACAAAGCTGCAAAAACTCGTGCACGACGTGAGTGCTGCACTGCAAAGCTGCACAAACTTATGCTCGCTATTACCTATACAGCAAATACTTACCAGTCTTCACTTATACGCAAACCTCTATTGCGAAAACGCATACAAGATATGAGTACTACACGACAAAACTTATACTGCAATAACATATACCAGTCACTACTTCCACAGCAAATGCGTGACCACAAGTCCCTGCGGTAACACAAATGTCGTGTACAAGGCTTTTCAGTGGCAGTAATGCCGTGTAAAACCAATGGCTGCATAAGTATTTCCAGTAGAAGTATCAACGGGCATAAGTTTTTGAAGCATAAGTTGTTTAGTGTAGCACTGATACCACGTAAGATTCTTTGCAGTAGAATTATATTCGAGTATAAGCAATGTCTGTACATGCTTTTGCAGCAGAAATCATGACGGACATAAATTTTTTAAGTATAAGTTTTGTCGTAAAGCACTAATGCCGCGTATAAGTGTTTTGCAGCAGAAGCACTGACGTGTATAAGTAATGGCGGCATAAATGTTTGGAGCATAAGTTGTGTTCCGTGGCACTAATGTTTTGTATAAATATTGGCAGTGGAAGGAACGCCGTGGCACTCCTGCCAGTGTGAGTTTTGTTGTAGCAATGTTGTCCTAGAAGCCAGCCACGCGCTTGTGGAATATATCTGCCGCGCGGAGGACCTTCAGCAGTAGCACGCAGCTACGCAGCCAAGGCATAACCAGCAACAGGTTGGCGGAGCCGACGTCCCTATGAATCGGACAGTGTTGGGCGGCGTGGGTGATTCGTAGACGGCACATGCACCTACGTCATGCAGTTGGCTGCATGGTCTGCTGAGATCTCCCTTAAAAACTGTAAAATCCCCAGAAACTGATGGATTTGTGGTTTTGAACGAGCGCACGCGGATGTCCGCACGATATAACCCGCGCTTTTGGTAGTGTGGTTGTCCATTTTTTGCCGAGGAGTTAAAATATGCTGATTTCGTCTCGTTCAAACCTGTCGAATTTATGGCCTAAGGCAGTTTTGTGTCACTTTGCATCAAAGTATTTTCGACAACAAATGTATCAACGAACGGAATGACCGAAAACGAATGGAAAGCAGGGGAAGGTATAACATTGAAACAATATCGGTATGCTAATTAGCCAAAGATATGTATGCAAATGCATTTGTTAAATTTGATAAGTTTTCATTGGCCACAGTAAACAAATTTGCTATAAAAAACAAACACGACGCGGCTATGAACTGCCGCGGGCTATCAATCCGACACGTTTGAGCTGAAATGCTGGATAATGTGGCGGACGCTGTGCACCGCTTCTGGGTACCTTTGACCAAGTTACGTTCAAATCCGAGAGATGAGAGTGTAAGACGGCCTTTGATCTGTCCTGGAACGCGTGGTAACGACAATCCGACTTTGGAACTTTCCCCAATTGATGCTTCCGCAGCTTCGATCCCGTGGCCACACTGTATATTTAATTAGTTTCTGATGGCTCTCTGTTTGCGCTGAAGCTATGCATTCCAAGGAAATGAAATACAAATTGCTCCGTCGGTGATAGTCATTAGTTTCTGCCTTGGCAACTTCAGTTTGGCTTTTATTCTGAACTCTCGAAAAGGCGGACAAAGCCGCTCCCTATTAGACCTAGTAAGGCCTCGGAGAGTAAAAGATTGAAATCCAAGCATCTAAAATCACTTGGAACGGTTCCAGGTCGGTCCATCAAACTTTCAGAGTCGATTAACACACGCTTGAATTGCCGGCTAAACGCGACACGCTCGGGTAGGGGCCCAAATGACCACCTTAAGACCAGACTGACTGACCACCAAGAATTATGAGCGCTGGAGCTGCAAAATTCACGAGGTAGGCAGGTTCATATGTGAACTCGCATGGCTTATATTTTCGGATCCCTAAGTCTTTACCTCCAGGAAAGCAAGGTCTAAAAAGACAAAATTCCAGATCGATGTCCGAAGTGCCTTAAGATCTGGTCGCGCAAGGACATGTGTCCCAGATACCTGATCTAATCAAAAGATCACTGGTTTGGCCATTAAAAGGTCACAGTGATCAGAAAATCCGAGATTATTTTGATGTTTTAATGCAAATGAGCATGAAGGATTACGTGCTCGTTATGGGCCTAAACACGGGATTACGTTGATCGGTACGGGCCTAAACACGGGATTCATTCAGCACGGGTTCATTGGATCATTTTAGGTCAGTGGCCTCCTCTGGCTTTCCAGAAGCCGAAATACAATCTCTGTTGACGTCCCTGTGATGGACAATTTTTATTACCCATAAATCAAGCGATCCAGCGAAAAGCTAGCTGGTTATTACCTTGGTCTGACCTTCGCAGTTGTCCCAAGGTCAGTGGTAAAATCGCCGTTCTAAACACAACTGGCTAGTAGAATGAGATACTATCTCAAACACTTCGTCAAACACTCCGTCGTCGCTTCAGGTTGAACGATTCCACAGAACTGGCCTCACTGACAGTCATGGCTTACATTGACCTGTCATAGGTCAGCGACCTTACAAGGCACAGGAGGCTGCAGTTGGAGTAGTCTTGAGTAGGGTCCATCACATTTTGACCTTAAGCGTGCGTTAAATTGCGAATTGGGCAATAATTCAACATGTATTGGAAGCTCATGAGTGAGTAATTTCCATATAAATCACTGAGCTTTCGGGCACTTGCTACATCGACATAAAACTGATTATGACACCCTGCGTCAGGACGGGTTATCAGGATATTGGAAATGTTTCCGTAAACACGGCCCTCCCGACCGGCGGGTAAGTCACGTGTTCACTACGCCCGCGCGCCACACTTAACAGCCTGAGGATTAGAACA